ATCAAGAAGGCCTTGTGACACCCTGTGAAGCTTTTGGCGATCCCTAGTCTCGCAGCCGGGGAAATCACAGACCCACAGATAAATATAATAAATGTATAAAACATGGTACAAGTTATGGTGATGGGCAGCAGAAACTGAAGCCACTGGAGAGACACTCTGCTATCAATAATTCACAGAGATGATAAAGTCTGGCCCACTAGTCCTCCCGCTGATACCGCATTCTCTTCACGAGCAGGATTACACAACAGCAATCAATAAGTAATAATATCGCGAGGCCACATACAATGGAGCGCAGTGTAATCCAATGATGCTTCTTTGGCAGTGAAAGAGAGCAGGCTGGTGGAGAGGCGTAATGATATGCAGCATGTATTGACTGAAAGCAGGCAAGATGCTATTCAGTACTGGCTGGAAGTCATTATGTGGGCGCTGCCTTGAAGGTGACCTGTCATGAGGATGAGGATGAAAGGGCCGGCTGCGGACGCACACACACACACACACGCATGATTTTGCATGCTTGCTGGACAAACAGGAAGGGGAGGGTTGCACAAGGGGATCTCACCCCCGTGTTGCCCCAGAACCCGCTGCCTTCAGTCAGAAGTAGTATATGGACAACACTGACACGCAATCTTAACAATACCACCTGACCCTGACACACGTGTTTCTGTCACTCCATAGCAACTGTCTTTCTAGCTCTTGCTCCCATACACACAAAAGACACAAAGCATGTGGCTTGCAAGCTGTATTAACCATCCGTTGCTTTATTTCGGGGTATCCCATGACATTAAGACGCTTTGCTGTGTTGTGTGACATCTCTTCAGCTCCGTCTCTGCTTTGCATTCTGATGCTGAATCCAATTCACGTCGAATGGAGCCAGACGCTCCATCGAATCAGCCTGTGCAGCCTCAGACACTGGCCCACTTTCAGTCAATCGGGAGCACAGAAGTGGAGCTCCCACACACTCGGCAGACTCAATTATGCAATCAACTGGGCAAACACTGTTTGGATGTGCTCTGGTGCTTCACACCTGAGAACAACAGCCTGCAGAGGTGCAACTTTAGAAAGCATGATCTGTTCCTCAGTTAGTCGCACCTTTCTCATACCTACAGGTTTCTGGATAGCAGATTTGAGTTCTTCGCATGCTGCGTTTCCCAAAAGCACAAGTATGGAGGAAGACACCACTGGGAGGGTTCAGATATGATACTCTGGTTTATTAAATGGTGCTCTTTCTTCTCAGTTACACAGCCATTAAATGCTTTCTATCAATGGCTGAGGGTCACCATAGCAACACTTTCATATTAAATTCAGTTTAACCCACTCTTCTTCCCATTGGGATCCCATTCACTTGTAAACACAACTTTTCTGAATGTAAGCAATGATTATCTGAGAGCTTTATAGAATATATCTTCAGGCGGTCAGCAGCCTGCTGTTTACAGATGTTTCACATGCAGTCAGAACACTGTGCAGGAAGAAATCAGGCCAGTTCTGCCTGTCTGATAATCCTACTGAAAACTGAAATGTATTGTTGTATTTTTAGAACAACTTCAGTCATGATTACACGTCGAACAGGCAGGCTACTTTATATTACTTGAATAATACATTCTAATAAAATACTCTTAAGTGAATAATCCATTTTTAAATCACTGCATTAGTTTCGTCAAATGACTGATTATTTCTTTCCTAATTAGTGATGTAATGAGCGTGATAAAGCACAGACTGCTTGTTAGTATTGCAAAATATGTTGTAATAATAACCAGCTCACTGTGCATTCTGTTTAAAGGACTTAAAATGAGTCAAATATTCTGTGCCAACTGAGTTACGGATAGGTTCCAGCAATATATATGCTGTACTAACATTACACTGACATTTCTATTGAAGTGTCTGAGTAGCCATGTCCGTAAGCCAGCATGCTCACCATACTGTCTACTGAAGAACAGCCAGTGAAGCAGGGAGGAGGGGAGGATTAAAAAGATTTTATATATAGATGCAAGAGCTACATCATGGCACAAACAAGAGCACAGAGAGGACCAAATAAACAAAAGTAGCAACAAAATCCCCAAACCTGTTCACATGAAGGAATGGCAGTCAGTTCCAATAACATGTGGCAGCGTTCTTTTTATTTACAAGGTGATTTTGATACAACCCAGGCGAGGAAACAGCTCGAGTCTTTAAGGTTATTCCTTATTGGTATTAACATAAACTAAAACAATGCACACCATTTACACTGCTCTATAGATAGTGGATTACTGTGCTGTAGCTCAGATCCTTGTCTGCTCAACAAATCCTTCCAGAAATAATGCGTCCAGATATCGTTCACCCTCAGGTCAGGAAAAGATTCCAACAACAGTGCGTTGGCCTTATCATGAGCCCCGACCAAACTCACCTGTTCACATTTACACGGTGGGCCAACAGGTAATCAATGGGGCAATACTGGGTTTCAGTGCAAACACGTCACAATAAGTCATTTTGTGAGGCATCTGACCTTGATCCCAAAGAGAAGGAGCTATAGCCTCCTCTCCCTGCGGTCTTAGTCTGTCCCTCTTTAGCTAATTGGATTAATGTTGGTGCTTTAATTAGAACGATCAGGTGGCCAAAACCAGAAGAGGCTGTAGGAACAAGGACTTCACTCCCATAGGTGCACATATAGAACACAATAACATGCTAACAAGAACTCTCTAGACACACAGAGGGAGTTCAGAATCACACTATTGGTACTGTTTATCTCCTGCACTGCTATTTTATTCTTTTACAATAGTAGAGAGGACGAAAGACAGGAGGGGGAGGAGTACTTTTATTATAAAATGTCTGTTTGTCACCACAGGAAGCATCAAACACGACACACAACCCCTGAAGCTAGCGCCGTTATTTGGCAAGAATCTGATAATACGATACAGGGGTTAGATTCAGTGTATTGGGATACTGTAAGCATGGCCATATGTTGTACTGTTTAGCCCTCAGTTTACCTTTATAACACTTTAAGAGATGAGTAGGACTAGGAAAGATTATTTTATGTACATTTTCTGAACTGAAGTTAATGATATTAGTGATAAGAGCAGGATCTTTATCTTTATAAGTGAATTAGTGATGGATCACAGATACAGAAAACTAAAAATTCATGACAAAAAAGCATATGGTCAATATTTTAGAGACCTCCCAAACGTTTTCAGGGGAGTTCATCAGAGTGGCTCCCCCGTGGTTTTATTATTATGGACAGATAATTTATCGGCTGTAATCCAATTATCCCGATAATTCATAATAATATCAGTT